CCTTGTAAGAACTGGCTAAAAATTATCTTATGCAGCTAACTCTGGCTCATTTATAATATTATGTCTGTTGATGAATGAACACTGTCCGTCAAATAAATGACTAAGTCATTATACGTGTCAAATATACTGTCAAATAAAGTGTCATTATTTTGTGACATTATTTTTCAACTACATTAAAGCACACAATAAGGAGTATAGTACATAAACCTAGATGAACATGAAGAATCCCTACATCCATATGATCTTATGTTGTGGGAGTATGAGGAGTAATCATTACTGTCAGTGTGTGTGTGTGTGTGTGTGTGTGTCTGTGTGACATTCATTCAGTCAGATTGAGAGAGGCTGTATGAGATTTAATTTTCCCTAAGCACTGAGCCACCTCCTGTGCACACATTATCTACATATATATATATTACTACACACACTAACACACATTACAGTTAGAGGTACTGCTACATACATCTGTGATTGAACGGAGCCTCCATCTCCATATGTGTCACTTCTGTATTCATACAAGTGTATGTGGGACCCTGACCTCTGCTTATTTGTGAGTCACATTGCCTCCTCTGATTCATTTATTGTGGCAACATCTTCCTTTAAAATCTTTCTGAGTATTTTGTCAATTTCCTCCATTATCTTTAGATTTTACTCATCAGATGAAACGAAAATGCAGAGATGTTTGCTCATTGAAAAGGGTCAGTTTCATTTCTTTAAGAGCAGCAACCTCTATTAATCTTAAAGGTGATGATAAAGCAGCATTAATTAATTTCTTGGCAGCATGAGAGCATCCCAACAGGCTGTAAACACAACATTAACATATTATCTCTCAGTTAGTATGCCAAAGAGGTGAGCAAAAGGCTTATGATTTAAACATCCACCAGACATGGAGCAACATTAGCATTCATTTGGAGTCATGTTTATGGCCACTTGATGAATGTAAGCCTAATATTAACTCTATTATGGTTCTGTTCAGGTTTCACCCGACTCCTAAGGGGAATATGTGGTTCTTCAGCAAATAAAAGCTCCACTATGTTCACCAGTCAATGTCTGGTGTTAAATTCTGAATAGGTTAAATGTGTTTTGTTTTTGTTTGTTTGTTGTTTCCCATTTCAGTTGCTTTCTAATGTGGTTGGAGATAATGTAGATGAGAACGGTGAGTGTGATGCAAACTGAATCATTGAGCTAAAAGAACATAAAATGGTCCTTTATGTTGAAGGGAACTACAGAACTACCTTTCTAATCACACATGGTATTTTTTTCTATTCTGTAAATAAATCTATTGATTGGTGTGTGAGTACTCTTATATTGTGTGTCAGTGTGTCCTCACTTTGTTTGACCCACACCCATTTTTGAGAGTTCCGTCTGGTTACATGGACAATGACGCATAAGTGAAAGATTTCTCAGAAGAGAGGACACAGTTCTCCTAACACACTTCTGCTGAATTAGCCACCAACAAACACCTCAGTATGTGCTGGTGGTATGCCACACACTCTGTTTCAAATAAATACAAATAGTGAAACACAAACCCATTCATATCACAAACACAAAATATCACACACATCCCTCAATTCATCACTACTCAACTTTGAATGTGTAATAGATTTTTTTTTTTTGTTTTTGCTGAAAATGTTATCTTCATCTTCCACCAATAAAACGTAGATTGATTGATTGATTGAGACGGACAGATGGATAGACAGATAGATGGCAGGGATTGGCTCCAGCCTTTGTCTTGATTTCTGTTTAGCTGTACCTCTTTATGATTTTCCTGATTTGTTGCATATTGATGGTAATTTACAGTCAGATTATGTTCCATAAACACAACAAACCATTTGCTCAAAAATACTTTATTGAAAAGTGACAGTGGAAAATACTTTGAAGAACATACACACAGATTTACATAAGATAAGGTAAGATTAAACTTTAATCCACACAACTGGGAAATATATATATATACTGGATGTTTAATCATGAAGATAGAGGAGTTCTCTTTACTGTTAATGTTGCAAAGCAAGACTCCTGTTGGAAAGATGTCATCAGACACATTTTCTCTGCCTGATTCTCCTTCTCCTGAACCTCTTCCTTTGCCGCATCCTTCTGCTCCTGTCTTTCTTCGCTGGTGCTTTTTTTGTTGTCGTGGAGACTGTTGATGCGAAGTCACTTGTGGACGCCTGTGTCATCTGTTCCTCAAACAACCCTTGTGCTGTTTTTGTTGTAGTGGAGACTGTTGATGCGAAATCACTTGTGGATGCCTGTGCTATCTGTTCCTTTTGAAGCAACCCTTTTGCTTTTTTTGTTGTAGTGGGGACTGTTGATGCGAAATCACTTGTGGATGCCTGTGTCATCTGTTCCATCTCAAGCAACCCTTTTGCTTTTTTTGTTGTAATGGAGACTGTTGATGCGAAGTCACTTGTGGACGCCTGTGTCATCTGTTCCTCAAACAACCCTTTTGCTGTTTTTGTTGTAGTGGGGACTGTTGATGCGAAATCACTTGTGGATGCCTGTGCTATCTGTTCCATCTGAAGCAACCCTTTTGCTTTTTTTGTTGTAGTGGGGACTGTTGATGCGAAGTCACTTGTGGATGCTTGTGCTATCCGTTCCATCTCAAGCAACCCTTTTGCCTCCTCATCCAGCTTCACAATGGTTTTTTTTGCCCATGTGCTGTTGGGGTTGGAGCAAATTCTAATTCCAACCTTCGTCTGAAACCTGCAATTGATTGTGTGAGACGTTAATGCAGTTGTATGGTTTTATTGCAATTTATAAATACCATATATCATATCTGAAAATCTGGAAACTTGAAAACCAAAACTAACTGCCCATGTGTGTGTGTGTGTGTGTGTGTTGATACTTACACTATGGCTGTGACAGGACACACACCTTCAGACTGAATTGTGTAATTCTTAATTTTTGTAAAATGGACTCTGGTTGTGGACCAACCAGGACAACAGCTGGACACGGGTCCATGCACTGAGTGAGACACAAATAGAGAAAGAAAGATTAATTTCACCCTGACAAACATTCAGATCATACACTTGATTACATTTCAGAACCTTTCAGTACTCACTTGCATGGACCGACTTCCTCCATGTGATGAAGCAGAGAGTCGCCAACACCACGATGAATCTCATCTTCAAAATGGCACTGTGGCTTTGTCCTTCAGTGGCCGACTGTATCTCTCAGCTCTAATATTTATAACTTGAATCACTCACAGTAAACAGTGTTGTTGCTCACACAGCAGGTGTAATGTAGATGCTAGCTACAGCACGTCCCATCCGCTGAAGTTCTCTGTGTGTTTTTGACCATTCAACTTTACATCTTTGCTCTTATAAAACACAAGCCCTTCCGCCTCCCCCCCACCATCTCACTTCTAACCCGTCACTACTGAGGATCGTCACGGTGGCCGCACAGTGGGGAGAGGAAACAATGAGTTTCTCTTTTCACTATAGCTGAAGGTGACAAACAGACCATTCAACCACAGTTCTGCCCACAATGCAACACGAAAGAAAGTACAAACCCTGGTGGTGTTGCTAACCCTATAGAAAAAGAACCAGAAACATGTCAGTTTCCTCGACACTCACTCTGAAAGCCACAGGCTGCCTCCACTTTAAGTGTCCCTGTCACTATACATGGTTTGGTACCTGAGAGACGAACTGAACTTTAGTAAATATTAATTTGGTCTGGGAAAATGTTTGTGGTTCATAAAGAATGACACATACATCCATTTTTTAATGAACTTTGAGTTCATATTACTGGACTATAAGCCTTTTGGCAGAAACTCCTACAGCAGATGTTTATCTGATAGTGCTGTAGCCAAATTTAAGGAAGTGATTTCTTCAGTATTGAATTCAATGCCATGTTTCAATGTAGCAGAGGACTTGTCTGCTTCCTTTAGCCCCTCACAAATAGATCATCTTGTTGATAGTACTACAGGCTCATTACGAACAGTTCTCGATTCTATTGCACCTCTGAAAAAGAAGATAATTAAACAAAGGAGGTTAGCACCATGGTATAGCCAGCAGACTCGCAGCTTAAAGCATGAGGCATGTAAATCTGAACGCAAATGGCGTGCCACTAAACTGGAAGAATCTCGTTTAGTCTGGCAAGATAATCTTAAAACATACAGGAAGGCTCTCCGTAATGCCATAGCAGCCTATTATTAATCATTGATAGAGGAAAATAAGAACAACCCCAGTTTTCTCTTCAGCACTGTAGCCAGAGAGCCACAGCTCTATTGAGCCATCTATTCCTTTAGGTCTAAGTAGTATTGACATCTTGAACTTCTTTAATGATAAAATTATAACTATTAGAGACAAAATTCATCACCTCTTGCCCTCAACAGGCACTGATCTGCATTCTTACACAGCAAGTTTGGAAACAGTTGTAAAACCTGATATATATTAAGACTGTTTTTCTCCTATCGACCTTCATCAAATAACTTCAATAACTTCTTCATCAAAGCCGTCAACCTGTCTCTTAGACCCCATCCCAACCAGCCTGCTCAAGGGTGTTCTACCTCTAGTTAGCCCTTCTTTATTGGATATGATTAATCTGTCTTTATTATCAGGATATGTACCGCAGTCCTTTAAAGTAGCTGTAATTCAACCTCTTCTTAAAAAGCCCACTCTAGATCCAGAGGTTTTAGCCAATTATAGACCGATATCAAATCTTTCCTTTCTCTCTAAGATACTTGAGAAAGCTGTAGCCAATCAGCTGTGTGACTTTCTCCATAAGAACAGTTTATTTGAGGATTTTCAGTCAGGACTTAGAGTCCATCGTAGCACAGAGACCACAGTTGTCAAAGGTACAAATGACCTCCTAATGGCTTCAGACAAAGGTCTCATCTCTGTACTTGTCTTGTTAGATCTCAGTGCCGCATTTGACACCATTGATATCAAATTCTTTTACAGAGACTGGAACATCAAATTGGCATCAAAGGAACCGCCTTAAGCTGGTTTAAGTCGTATTTTTTAGATCGATCTAAGTTCGTACATGTCAATGATGAATCCTCCATGCATACCAAAGTTTGTCACGGAGTCTCACAAGGTTCTGTGCTAGGACCACTTCTATTCAGTTTATATATGCTTCCTTTAGGGAACATTATTAAGAATCACTCCATTAATTTTCATTGTTATGCCAATGACACCCAACTATATTTATCGATCAAGTTTGATGAAACTAATCAGTTAACTAAACTTCAAGCATGTCTTAAGGATATAAAAAGTTGGATGACCTACAATTTTCTAATGTTAACTTCAGACAAAACTGAAGTTCTTGTAATTGGACCCAAAAACCTCAGAAACTCTCTTTCTAGAGACTTAGTTACTTTAGACAGGATCCCCCTGGCCTCCAACTCCACCGTTAAGAATCTCGAAGTTGTTTTTGATCAGGATCTGTCCTTTAATGTCCACATAAAACAAATTTCAAGGACTGCTTTCTTCCACTTACGTAACATCGCCAAAATTAGACGCATTGTATCTCAAGCGAATGCAGAAAAACTAGTCCACGCATTTGTTACTTCTAGGTTGGACTATTGTAACTCTTTGTTATCAGGTTGCATCAGCTATATAAATAAAATTTGATTTGATTTGATTTGACATACAACATACACCATATTCTTTTAGACATATTCTTATCAAAAATGTTTGTAGTAGGTTTTACATATTCCTGATTATCTCACCAGCAACAGGATTATTTTGATTGAAATTTGCATTTGATATATATTGTGATGTCATATTTTGGCAAATAAATACAAGACATGTTTGTAACACTTATGTAACACAACAAAAAGAGAGTAATCTAGCTAATATATGTGGTGTAATAACACTGGGGCGTCATGCTTCCAGACACGCACCGTCTCGCGGACATTTTCCTGAACTTATGTCCAAGTCAGTTGCTATGGACATTCTCTGAAACCTTTTCTGCCAGCCGCCCAGTAACATGTCCAGAAAATGTCTGAGTGAGCCCATGTGAGAATACAGCTGGAAAATGAGAATTCATAGCGAGTGAGTGGGTGCGATGATGATGTTTCTAACATGCGGCAGATGCCAAACTGGAAGAATACAAATACCTTAGGATAAAAAAGAGTTGCCAGATGAAGAAAAAACGAGATTCAAGAGCCGTTGGTGATAAAGGCCAACACCAGTGTTGATGTGCTGTAAACAAAAACATTGATTGATTATGTCCTGCCACCTCCAGGCACTCATCTGAAAGTTTAGAACATTTTCCTGTTGTTGTGAACACGTCTGATCAGTGCATTCTTCTACTGCCTTCTTCATTTGTGAAAGGCAAAGTCTGCAGAATGTCCCAAACACTTTTCCTGACATTTTCTGGAGTTCCCTCCCAAATCATACAATGGGATGTTTTTCTTACACTGTGTGAACACGGCAGAGGTCTAATCAGCCAGAATAAGTTAAATCTTCCATGTGGGTGTGTATGACCTTTACTGAGATTATACAGTTTCAGTTTTACATCACACTAGAATTTCAAAGTAAAAAGGATTAAAAAAAATAATGAAAGATTATGTTGAAACTAGATTCATACAGTTGGTTAGGGACACATGCTGAGGAAAGAGGAGCCAAGCATAGGGAATTCAGAATTTAACCAACTGTAAAGCCGCAGGCAAACTGACAGTTTAATGCACTCATAGAGCTTAAAAATGCAAAGAAAGAGAGGATGGATTAAGTGAGAAACCGAATAGAAGAGTGAAATTGATATTTAGATGAGGTGAGGGCACTGGACACACAAAGAGGCGGAGAGATAAGCGAGAGCTCAATCGAAATTAAATAATTAGAAAAGACCGACTCAACAGGTGTCAGGCAGCACGATGGTAAGTCAACTAACAGCAAGAGGATTCTCTCTGCATAGAGTTAGCATACTTAAGACAAGAGAGAATAGCACCTGATTGGCCGTCCACCCGGTGTCAGTGTGGAAAATAAATGGTATCTTCATGCCTTTGACTCCCTCATTCAACAACTACAAATCCCAAATGTCCGGTCATTAACATCAGTGAAAACATGGCTGTATTCCTTTACCAAGTACAAAAAACACACATACATAAGCTGAAGAACATTCACAAACCCTCGAAGGTATGCAGGCATACATGCAAGCACACACATAATGACCTATGCCTGGACTAATGTGCTCGGCACGAACGTTTCTCCACACCCAACATCCCAGTCTCATCATTTTCATCCCTGTGGCTTGTCGGAGGCGAAAATACCTCGGCGGATTATTCGTTCCTCTCTTATTCATTAGTTGTTGTCCTGGGTAGCAGCCAGGGCCGCTGGTTCGCTGACAGCGTGGCTGATTGGAATTAGTCTCCTGATAAAGCAAGAGAGTGGAACATAGCGTCGCAGGAAATTACAATCAATACTGGCTCTCATATCCTCATCCGACACTGACTGCAACTGGGAATGAGAAGCACATTGTCCAGCCTCTGCACATGGACATGAGGACGTGCGTAGGGACAGTTTTACGGCACTGAGACTTTTACAGAATCTTTCCTCATTACTGCACACAGAGAAAAGGAATGAGGAGAACCACAGCTCTGCCCCAAACCACGGCTTTCTTGCATGATTCACACGCTTTCTCGCATGATTCACACGCCCTACATCATGCTTATGCCCTCTGCATCCTCTGTTAGTTTAGAAATGGGGACAGACTGTGGCAGAGAAGAGAGCTTCCTAAAACACATTGGTGGTTGGTACATGACTCAAAGCAATCACACACACACACGCACAACGCGACGTGATTGGCATATCACAAATGAGACCATTAATTAAAGGAATGTCTCATCAGATGGATATATTTGGCTGTCTCTGTTTAATAAAGAATCAGATACAGACAGATCAAGGTTTAATTTGATCCTTTATCCAACACTGAGGAATTGTATTGATTCATTTGGGAAGATAAGGATATGCGATTCTTTTTTTGTAGAATTATAATGATCAGACGCAGTCTGATTAACTCTCTCCCTCTCCTTTCTTTCTGTGTACACATTCTGATAAGTTCATCTCCAATAAGGAAAAAAAGGAACAGCCAGAAACCTTCTATAAAGGCCAGGTATGCTGTTCAGAGAGCTATGTGTCTGGGCTTTGAGTCTGAAAGACGCTGGTGCCTGAGCGTGACGGGCCGAGCGTCTGTCTGGTGGATGGACTGTTGTAAAGAGCACTGCACTCTGGGGTCATTTTTAGAACTGGAGAAGTGTTGGGAAGAGCAGAGATGTTTTTGATATGTAAC